TGGCCTCATAATATTCCATGTTACTGTGTGACCCTTCTTTAGACATTTGTTTGCTTAAGGTTCCTTTATAAGAAATATTTTGTTTGATAATCAGGGCTGCTAAATTTTGTTCTGTATTTTCCAGTTTTTCTCTGCTTTTTAAACTTTTTTTCTCTTGTGTTTCAGGGATCCAGAGGGCTTACGGGTGTTTTATTATCTTGTTCAGGACCTCAAGTGTCTAGTCTTCAGTCTTATTGGACTACACTTCAAGATTAAGCCAATCTAGATGAAATATTGTGGACTTCAGGGGCGTGGGGGTAGTTTTTAGTTACCATAATTAGGAAATTTTTGTGTATATTGAGGAAATTTTTTATAAACAATAAATGGTCTTTAATACAAGCTATAAAACCCAATTTTTGTTATTTTGATATCTGAATGTGAATTCGTACTAATTTGTAGACTACAAACATCCAGTGGAAGACTTGCCAAAAAAATCTAAACTGTCCAAAAAGTACCATTTTACAGGAAGTAGTGGGAAAGTGTATTTACAGTACAGTGAGAGGGCCGGAGGTGGCTCAGCAAGTCAAAGCTCTAGCATCGTTTGACCTGACAACCTGAGTTCCCTTCCAGAAACCCACAGAAAAAGCAAGACCAGGTGCTCCAGCTAGCCTGCACTAAGCCACCCAGTGGTGAAAATGAGAGACCTGCTTCAAGAAGGTGGGAGGCAAGGACTGACCCAACCAACACCTGTACTGTATGTAGTATGGGCATAAACACATACACTAATTTTTTTTTTAATATGACAATCTGAGAATACAGTGTTCGAAGGAAATTCTAGGACAAATTACCTCCCTTCCCTTTGTAGCCCAGCCTGGCTTTGAACTTGGGGTCAGCCTCCCAAGTGCTTAGGTTACAGGCACGTGCCACCACACCCAGCTCAACCAGTTTCATAATAAATTACAAGGGAGAGACCAGGCCTGAGAGCGCATGCCTTTAGGGAGGTATAGGCACACAGATCTCTTGAGTTTGAGGCCAGTCTGATCTACATAGTAGACCGTCTCAGAAAACAAAGCAAACCAATAAATTAAAAGGGGAAAAATGAAAACCTATAGTTTTAAATGACAAGTTCATTGCTGGAGGTATAGAGCATTTACCTAGCATTCTGAAGGCCTTGGATTTGGTCTCCAGCATGTCAGACACAAAAAATGCAATGTTTGGGTCATAATATTAAAATTGTAAATTACACCATTAAGGAAACTTGGATATATATATATATGGAGAGAGAGAATGTGTGTGCATGTGCTGGGGATCAGACCCAGGGCTTTGCAGATACTAGGCAAGCACTCCACTATGAAGCTACATTTCATTTCACAGCCAAGTAGTGGGTTTTTTTTGTGTTTTTTTTTTGGTCTTTTTGAGATGGTATCTCCCTGTAGCTCCAGCTGGCCTGAACTCCCAGAGATCCACCTGCCTCTGCCTTCCAAGTGCTGGGACTAAAGGTATGCACCACCACACCTGGCTAAGTAGTGTCAACTTTTAAGACATAAAATTGTATTGTGGTTGGGATATTTTAAGGTAGTTCCTTTACAGAGCCTGTATTTCAGTGTGATGGAAAATACTTTTTCAGCAGGTAGATCTATAGGATCTTTTTCTTGTCGTTAAATCACATGGCTTTAAATTTTCATGTTTGCCAGGTATGGGGGCACATGCTTATGATCCCAGCGCTAGGGAGGCAGAGGCAGGTGGATCTCACAGGCTGGCCTGATCTACATAGTGATTTCCAGGCCAGCTGGGGCTACAGGGAGACCCTATCTCCAAAACAAAATTGTCATGGCTTTAGGCATGTAGCTGATGGACTACACTGCACCAGAGAAGCGGGGCCTCCATAGGCTCCATTTGATTAAAGAAGTGATTAGCCTAAATAGACACTTTTAAAGTCAAGGTCCCAAGCAGTCTCATACCAGTGCTTTTCCTACTCTGCCTCCTTTGAAAAATAGGGTCAGTGTGGGGAGGTTTTGCAGCTGACATGACAGGACTCCCGATTAGAGCACCTCTTAATACTTATAAGGTCAATCTGGTGATAAAGTTCAGGAGAACCAAATTAAAAAAAAAAAAAACCTATTTAAACGACACAGGGACTATAAAGTCTCAAATGCGCTCAAATGGTGATGCCCATGGCACCTGCAGTGTCGTAAAGGTATGATAGAAACAACTGGTGTTCAGATGCAGGGACCCCAATGAGAAGGACATGGACACAGGGCAGACCTCTGCAATGGCCCCAGAAATAGTTCTGGTGGGTAAATCAAGAAAGGGCAGTTTAGAGAAGAAAGTCTATCCCAAATCTGTGACGTAATCTGCGAAGTCAGGACAACATAGTAAGGAGTCAGGAAATATGGGCCAAAGGAGGCCTAGCAGAGGTTTTGGGTAATGACTATCTTGTCTTCCTAGTGCTGGCACGAAATCGAGATTCGGGAACTATCTCTGACGTTACTGAATCCGGGGCTCAGCTGACCTCCACGGGTTCCAGTGAACCTACCGGGAAAATCTCAGTCAGGCAGAATAGGGTGGGACAAACTGGGACTAACCCACAGGACTCAACCACGCCTTCTTTCCCGCCACGCCCGCACTGAGGCTGCGCAGGCCTTTTACGACGGGCCGGAAAGCAGCAGTCGCCGAGGGATTACGCGGACCCAGCAGCAATGGGGGTAAGGGGAGGCGATTCCGTCCAGGCAGGGAGCGGAGTAACGAGGTGGGGTGGAGGCGGCGAGGACCTAAGAGTGTCGAGTTCGCGGCAGGAGAGAACGTGAAGAGACGGGGCTAGCGGAGGAACTGGGCGGCAGGGCGTGAGCGGGACGGGGCGGGACGAAGCTGCGCAGGCGTGGTAACATAGCCAACCTGGCCCGCCCTCTTCTCAGAAAATCGCGCTGCAGCTGAAGGCCACGCTGGAGAACGTCACCAATCTTCGGCCAGTGGGCGAGGACTTCCGGTGGTACCTGAAGGTGCGGCTGAGCGGGTTCCTTCAGAGGAGGGAGGGTTGGAGGCGGTGGGCGCGCCAAGGGTTCCGGGACTGTTCCCGGAGCTGTGCTGTGTCTCTCAGTGTGACACACGACTGTTCCCCGGAGCTGTGCTGTGCGTCAGTGTGACACACGAAGTGTCCGGCTCCCGGCTGGCGTTGTAGGTTTCCTTATTGGTTAATCTATACCTGATCTTGGAACTCCGTTTTGTTTTGTTTTCTGAGATAGGGTCTCATGTAATTTAGACTGGCTTTGAAGTCGCTGTGTAGCGGAGAAAGACCTTGACCGCCTGATCCGCTTGCCGTCATCTTCCGAGTTCTAGTATTACAGGTGTGCGGCCCCCACACCTGGTGGAACATTTTTTCACTCCAGGGGAGAGAATCTAGGGCTTCATGCAAGAGCTCTTCCACTGAGTAATTTCCCAGTGTTAGGAACACGATTTCTTTATTTTTATTTTATATGTAGAATGTTTTGCCTGCATGTATGTACGTTCACTCCTGTCGTGCAGTGCCCCCCCCCCAGGTCAAAAGATGGAGCGGTTCCCCTGGAACCGGAGTTAGGGTTGGTTGTTAACCACCATGTAGGTGCTGGGAAACAGTACTCTTAACCGCTGAACCATCTCTCCAGACCCAGATTTCTATTTATTTTATAATTTTTCCCTTTGTTAACTATTTCATGGTTTGTAAACAGAACAAAATGCTATTTGACAGAATCTTATTATTTTAAAAGGTGAGTAAATTCACCTTGTTTTATTTGCTGGGCTAATCGTAAGATAGTTTAGTGTATGAACTCTCTTTACTTCCCCACACAATACTAATAAACCTAGTACCCTAGCAGCATTGTCTGTAGAGGTCCAAACAGTTAAGTTCTTCACCGTCCCAGATGCCAGAGCTTCTGCTTTATCGTTCTTCCAGTCTAATTCAGCATCCTTACATGCCCATCAAAAGCTTTATCTTTCTGGAAGCCGTATTTGATCACTTTTACTTTCCAGTTTTTTCCTCAGTGCTAGGCAAGTGTTCTACCCCAGAGCTCCCTATTTCCAGATGTTTTGAAGCATGAGTTCCAGGGCTTATTTGAAGAATTAGCATTCTTTGTCTTTAAGAAGCACAGAATAATGGATACAGAAAGAAAGAACAACAACAAATAAGTAATGCTTGACCCAAGCACCCTTGGTGCCTGTGGAAACACAAAGTTCCTAAGCAAGCAAAATGTTGGGGCCTGTTGAGACCATTTCAGTACCACATAACCCTTGCATCCCCAAACAAATGGAGAACTTCTTAGAGGAAAGTAGGTGCTTACCGTCCAGTAGCATGAGAAAAACTTGTTCCTTGCCTCGCGAGAAGTCTAGTTATGTCCTTATTGTGGTTGTTTGTGGGTTGAGGTAAGAAGGAATCAGAAGGGGGGATGGAGAGATGGCTCAGTGGTTAAGAGCACTGACTGCTCTTGCAAAGGACCTGGGTTTGAGTCGCAGCACCCACACAGTGGCTAACAGCCATCCATAACTCCAGTGACACCCTCTTCTGACCTACACGGAAATTGTACGACATGGGTGCACTTAACATAGATGCAGGCAATACATTCATACACATAAAATATTAAAAAAAGAAAATAATTGCGCTGGAGAGATGGCTCAGCGGTTAAGAACACTGGTGGTTCTTGCAGAAGACCTGGGTTCGAATCCCAGCACCCACATGGCAGCTAACAGCTGTCAGTAACTCCAGCTCCAGGTGACTGTGGGAAAAGGCAGCTTGCTTTCATGAAGTGATGGGCTGCATCTAATATGTGGACGGCCTTAATAGAACAAAGATGGCCACCCCTGAGCAAGAAGGAATTCTTCCCACAGACTGACTTTAGACTTGAACTGCAGCTCTTCCTTGTGTCTCCAAGGAAGTCTCCCCTGAAGATTTTGGACTTGTACCTCCACAAGTGTATGAGGCAATTCCTTTAAAAAACAACTATTTTGGGGCTGGAGAGATGGCTCAGCAGTTAAGAACATTGGCTGTTCTTGCAGAAGACCCAGGTTAGAATCCCAGCACCCACATGGCAGCTAATCTGTAACTCCAGTCCCAGGGGGTCCAACAGCCTCTTCTGACCTCCGAGGGCATTGTGTAACACAGGTGCACTTACCTACATGCAGGCAATACACACATACACATAAAATAAAAATAATAAAAAAGATAATTGAAATTGGGTAGTGGGGGGTGCAACTAGGGGAGAGATCTAAATATCAAAATATATTGTATAAAATGTGCAAAAATTCAATTAAAAATTGTTAAATAATTTGGATTAAATGAAATTTAAAAAAAATAATCAGAAGGTAGTCTATGCTGGTGCATAATGGCACTCACCTGTAATCCTAGCACTCAGGCAGAGACAGGAGGATCTCAAGTTCAAAGTCATCCTGAGCTATCACAGTGAGATCATATTTAAAATAAATGCGAGGTGGTAGGTTATGAGCCCGCCTACTTACACTGTATTTACCCTTCCCCCAGTGCCTCTTTACCTAAGCTGCTTTATTAATACTTTGTTTCTTCCCCAAGATGAAATGTGGCAACTGTGGTGAGATTTCAGAGAAGTGGCAATATATCCGGCTGATGGTAATAGTCCCACTGTAGACACATATATTTCTGGGAAGAAAGTGGAAGAACTAGCCTTCATCTCTCCGTTCTTTGAACTCTGTTTTGTTGTTGTGTGTGGTTTGAGAGGGCAAGCAGCAGTGTGATCAGTACTGGGAATAACAGGCATTTTGGGGCTATGAGGTAAAGTTCAAATTCGAGGGGAACTCTTTCTCAGTCTCCAGAAGTCTCTTCAGGATTGCTTCTCCCTACCCCATATGTGTGCTAGGGATTGAGTCCAGAGGTTTGCATACACTAAACATGCTTTACCACTAAGCTGCCTCTAATCCCCAGGATGCTTGTCAGCAAGTCACTCACTTCTGTAAATCTTGACCTCTAACTAGTTAATAGGTAGTGGGATGAGATCTCTTTGAGACCCTTGCATCTAGTTGTTACATAACTACAGGTTCTGTTTGCTTCTTATCAGGACAGTGTGGCACTGAAAGGAGGCCGTGGCAGTGCTTCCATGGTCCAGAAGTGTAAGCTGTGTGCACGAGAAAACTCCATTGGTAGGTCAAGCTATGACTACTAAGAGAGCAGGCTCATGTTGCCTGTGGGTGGGTTCAAGCCTGAGGTTCTTTATAAAGCCTTTGAAACTTACTGTTTTTCCCAGGCCATAGTTGGGCGCCTGGAGCCAGGGGATGGATTTAAGTCAGCTTTTCTTTTTTGTATTTCAGAGATTTTGAGCAACACCATCAAGTCTTACAATGTAAGTTTGCTGCCCTAGTGACAAGGCCATTAGGATTAAATCTAAATGTGGGGCTGGGAAGTGGGTTCTAGACTCGTAACTGCATCAGAGTGGCCTGCTGCAGGACACTGTCCTATGTACTTATTTACTCACTTTGTTTTGTTTGAGACTAGGTTTCACTAGGTAGCCCAGGCCTCAAACCCACCATCCTCCCACTTCAGACTCCTGAATGCTAAGATTATAGGCCCTTGACACCATGGCTTTGTGCTTATTTATTTATTCTTGTATGCACTTAACTTGGCTGTGCATTTGCTAAGTTCATCTTCTACCATACACTTGATGCTACTGCAGTGTCTTCCTAAAAGTACAATGGAGTGAAAGTATGGTCACGGTACTTGGTGGCTGAGCCCGTGGGTAAGGTAGGCGTGGATTTCCTGGATTTTCACCTCCCAGGAGGTGCCCTTTCCACACACATAGCCATACTCTCATGACATGGTAGGTAGTATATTGGACCATTTGGATGATCTGGAGACTTTGTAGCTTAACATTTGTCCTCATAGTCTTGGTACTGATAATTTCCCATTTGTTGAGCAGTGTTAGATCCTATGCTTGGCTTTTTATATATGTTTCAGAATCTCACAATAAATGTAGGGTTTACCTCAGCTCTGTTGACAATTTAGGATTCGTATGCCCAGAGGGAAGAAAGGCAGAACTCAGCTTCACATCCAGGAAGGCTGACCCAAGAATCCTTGTCTGCAGAATCCATGTCTACAGAATATCCTGTGTGGAGCAGTGCCACAGCAGGTTTCTTTCAGAAGGGGATGACTTGGTCCTGGCTCCCACTCTAGACTTGAAGGTGCAATAAGAGCCCACATGGCAGGCAGGAAGGGTATAGGGGTCTCCCTGGGCAGTTGGTCTGCCTCCTCAGTACACTCCCTTTCTAGGCTGAAGACAATGAGAAGTTCAAGACAATAGTAGAGTTTGAGTGTCGGGGCCTTGAACCATTTGACTTCCAGCCCCAGGTATGTATTTTTAAGAGAATCCTGTCTTTGGGGAGGGGATTGTGACTTGACAGAACTTTGCTTCTTACAGAGACTGAAAGGCCAGGCATGGTGGTGCATGCCTTTAATCCTGGCACTTGGGAGGCAGAGATAGGCAGATCTCTATGAGTTCAAGGCCAGCCTGGTCTACAAAGTGAGTTTCAGGCCCACTGGGGCTATAGGGAGGCCATGTCTCTAAAAGACAAAATAATAATAGGGGCTGTGAAAGAGGAATTCTCCATCTTTTTTTCTTCTTCCTTTGGTGCTCTACATGGACCAGGAATTTGAAGAACGGTGATTGTCATTTACTAAGTGCTTACTATATGCTGGGCTCCCTGCATTTTTTTTTAAACATGTTACTCCATTTTAAACTCACAAACCCTGGGGAGTAATTCTTCCTAGTTTTCAGATGAGGGAAAAACTTCAGAGCTGCTGCAGCTTGCCCAGGGTCCCACATTTAGGAAGGACTAGGGCTGTGATTTGAACCCAGGTCTGTCTGACTCTAGGGCCAGCACTCACCTTTCTATTTGTGCGGCATCTTCACCTCAGTAAATCTGTAAGGCAGAGATAATTTTGTCATCCCATCTTATTACCAGAAAAACCAATGTCCAAGTAGGTGTTGTTAGCACACACTTGTAACCTCAGTACTCAGAAAGTAAGGCACTGTGTTGCCAGGGCTGCCACCAGGCCTGGAAGCTCAGCAGTTTTTCTGAAGCATTTGCTCACACTGCAGCTGCTTTTATTTTGAAGACTTTGCTAGAAAGGCCAGCTTTGGGGCCAGTCTTCACATGCTTTCAGTGTCTTCTTTCTCCCAGCCTAACTGTTGCCTTCCTGTCCCTTGCAGGCTGGGTTTGTGGCTGAGGGTGTGGAGTCAGGGACAGTCTTCAATGATATTAATCTGCAAGAAAAGGTGAGACTCGGGGGACCCTGCAAGATGTTACATGGTATCTGGTGGGAATTATCCTTTTGGTGAACACGGCTTACCAGTAGAGAGCTAGCTCTGCATTTTTGTGCTTTTTATTGGTACTTCTGCTGTTTAAATAGTTGCAAGTATAGTGCTGAAGTGCTGTCTGTGTTTGTACAAGCAGGAAGACTACATGTGACTGACACACAACGTGCACATAGAGATACTTCATTCAGATATGAGTTACAGTGCTGTTCACTGAACTAAATGTCATTGAATTAACAATCCATATTAAATAGACTATCTTTAAACAGAAACACATAAATCATTTTTGATTGATTGATCAATATTGATCAATTGATAAAACTGTTATGATCAGACATTCAAGAGAACCTAACCCTGTTTTCAACTGGGAGCAGTGGTTCAAATATTTTTAGTGATTTTATAGAACCCAAAAAGTAATTTTGGGGCTAGAGAGATGACTCAGCAGTTAAAGAGCACTGGCTGCTCTTGCAGAGGACCCAGGTTCAAGTCCTAGCACCCACATGGTGGCTAACCCACAACTCCAGTTCCAAGGGAATCAGACACCCTCTACAACCTCTCCAGGCATTGCATGACACAGGTGCACTTATATACAGGCAATACACTTATACACATGAATTTTTTTTTTTAAGTAATTATCTGTGCTGGATAGCTTTAGTGTCAACTTGACACACTTGGGTTGAGGGAGCCTCAGTTGGGGAATTTCCTCTATTGGACTGGCCTATGGTCATGTCTGAGGGGCATCTTCTTGATGAGTGATGTCGGAGGGCCCAGCCCACTGTGGGTGGTGCCATCCCTGGGCAGATGGGCCTGTGTTGCATAAGAAAGCAGGCTGACCAGGGGCCAGGGAGTAAGTTATCCATGGCCTGTGCTCTAGCTCCTGCCTCCAGGTTCCTGCCCTGGGTGTCTACCTTGGGCTCCTGGATGAACTGCAACCTGGGAGATGTAAGCTAAATAAACCCTTTCCTCCCAAGTTGGTACTGGTTGGAGTATTTTGTCACAGCTAGGACAGCTTCTGTATTACTAGACCTGTTACAACAATGCAGGTAGACAAGTCTTCTGCTCCAGCCTTGAAGGAAGGACAACAGCTACATTCCATCTGCACAGCACCTTTTAACAGCAGCAGCTGGCATTTAATGAGCTCCTCTCTGTGACAGGCACTGTGCAAAATGCTTTTCCACGTGTTTCCTCATTTTATACTTTAAACATTCACTCAGAAGTCTGCTGTTTCCCTTTTTAAATAAAGAACAGAACACAGACTCGGAGGAGTGACAGGGCTTGTCCAGGTACAAAGCTGAGCTCTGGAGTTCTGGCCTGAGTTGTCTGACTCTTAGTCTTGCATGTTTATGATTAGCTGAGTCAGAGCCTACATTAGGCTTTGAAACTCCCAGTTCTTCACTGCCCACACTGTCCAATTCTTACTTAAAAGCTAATGTTGCCCTCTTATTTCATAGGACTGGACAGACTATGATGAAAAAGCTCAGGAGTCTGTGGGAATCTACGAGGTCACTCACCAGTTCGTGAAGTGCTGAACCTTCTTCCTGCAAACTTGCCCAAAGAACTGATAGAGACAAAGTGCCCCAAGAAGCAGCCCCCATGGAGGCGTGTCCCCTCATCCCTCATCTCCTAACAGCTGTATGAAGCCCCTTTTGGGCTTTGTCATCCCACCAATAAATCCCCTGATGAATGAAGATAGAGCTGAGCCACCAGCCACTCCCTCCACAAATAGGAATGGACTCCGGAGCTCTTTGCTTCCTGGTACCCTGTACCAGATCCAATTTGCAAAATATGTTAGAGCCTATAAGGGCTCTCTAGTTCTTGGGGAGTAGGTAAGTGAACTCACAGGATCAAAGGCATGAATTTCAGTGGCACAAAGGAGAGAGAAGCCTGTGGAATGGAGTCATGAGCCCAGCAGTACCGAGCTAAAATACTGCCTTGATCACTGTGGCTCTCCAGTAAAGCCAGGCATTTCTTTTAGCTCCTCTCTTCACATCTAGATCTCCAGAGGTTTGCAGCCCTTTTCTGGCAGGTATCCATCCGCCCCGTGGAAGTCCTGGCTGATGGTCAGTCTCTTTCTCACTTGTTATGATAGGGTACTTCCTGTCAGAAGAGTCAGTATGAAAGTTCCTCCTTATGCTAAGTTAGTTTCTATGTTCCCTGAAGCACCTTGCTGGGCCCACTTGTCCTCTGTGGCTACACCTATGTGTTTTGCTTCCAGACAACCCTTTGGAGTGGTTAGGACAGGAGGCATGACTTGCTGAGTCTTGTGGGCCTTGGTTCCATGGGACCAGAGGTTCCCACATAGTGGACAAAATTGTTGAGTGTACTGCAGGGTCATGAGGATGCTCATTTCTTCATACTTGGAAACCCACCATTTGGAAAACCTTTTGCCACAGACTAATAATCTGCTAGAGCCTAAAAAAATTTTTTTAAATTACATGTACTTGTCTCTGTTTTGTGTATGAGTATGTGTGTATGAGTGCAGGAGCCTGCAGAGGCCAGAAGAGGACGTTGGATCCTCTAGAGCTAGAGAGACAGCTGTGAGCCACCCAACATGGCTGCTGGGACCCAAACTCAGGTCTTGTACAAGAGTAATACATGCTCTTATTTGCTCAGCCATCTCTCCAGCCTCTCTTCCCCAGCTTTCTGAGAACTGGGAAAGGGTATGCCCATTGTCGGGCGGCTTGTGAGGGTCCTAAACAAGGATGCTATACGAGAGAAAACAAAGAGCAAGTCGCATATTTAATAGGTGATGAAATGCTCAGGCATTCCATTTACAGTCGGTGAAATATGGACTCCCCTCATCACTGCTTCTGCTTATTGTGCTGGGTTCCTACAACTGTGACAAGAAAGACGAAAGGGAGGAAATAACTCCGGTTTTCACAGGATCTTCCCATTTAAAAGCCCCAAAGAGCTAACGTGCTGGACTTAAGATCTACATAGAAATCAAAGGCATTTCAGTACATTAACAAACAACATAGGATTCAAGAAAAGATGCCTTTTATAGCAGCAGCCAAGGGTGGCGTGTAGCTCAGGGTTAGAGCACTTACCTAACATGCATGAGTCACTGTGTTCAGTCTTCAGCACCACAAAAGATAACATCAAGAAAATACTCCTCGGCCTAGAGAGATGACTCAGCGATAAGAAACACTGTTCTTGCAGAAGACCCGGGTTCAAGTCCCAGTGCCCACATGGCAGCTAACAACTGTCCGTAATTCCAGTTCCAGGGGATCTGACAGCCTCTTCTGTCTTCCTCAGGCATTGCACGACACAGGTGCACTTAACATACACACAGGCAATACATGCATACATGTAAAAATAAAATATTAAAAAACAGCGTAGGAGTTGATCTCAGAGATTTATAACAAGAATACTATTAAGCTTTACTAAAAGGAATTAAAAGACCTATATTGGGCTGGAGAGATGGCTAAGCAGTTAAGAACACTGGCTGTTTTTGTAGACTACCCAGGTTTTGAATCCCAGCACCCACATGGCAGCTAACAACTGCAACTCCAGTTCCAGGGGATCCAACAGCCTCTTCTGTCCTCTGTGGGCATTACACGACACGGGTGCACTTATTACCTACATGGAGGCCACACATGCATACACATAAATAAAAAAGAAAAAGATTATCATTGGATAGGAAGACAATATACACTCATTTTCAACACGTTTGTATTTATAAATTTCATTGCAATCTTAATTTTTGTTTAGTGTAACTTAAGTTGGTTCTGAAACCTCTATGAGACCCAGGTGGGAGATGTATGTGCCAGTCACCATAATGAGCAGAGCAGTTGCTGTTAAGCCAGTGTGGTATTGGCCCTGAGATAGCCAAATAGACCAACAAACAGACCCATTGTCATAAAAAATTGCTTATTGACAGATGGTATTGAAAATCAATATGTTAATTATTAAGTCTGTGTGTTGGGACTCGTTAAACTAATGAAAAAAAGGCTGGAGGCCTACTTCATTCTGCACATGAAGATCTATTCCACCCAAGGGTTGGTAAGCTTGGGTATTTAGGCACTGCAGTATGTGGGAGACACAGATCCCTGGGTTTACTATCTACCTGCAAACCTGGAGCAAGTGTCTGCCCTCTCAGGACTTTAATTTCTTGATCTGAAAAATGAGGGCACTTCCAGCTCAGTGAGATCAGTCCAAATGCTGTGTTTGATCTCTGCCCCATTAAGCAGGCTTAGACACATGTATAAGCTGTGAATACAAGGTAGCTTCCAGAGGAATGGGGAGATGTTTCAGTCAGTAAAGTGCTTGCCACACAAGCATGAGGACTTGAGTTCAATCTCAGTATTCATGTAAGCTGGGGATGGCAGCATGTGTCTGTAATACTGCTGTTGGAAAGGCAGACAGGAGATTCATTGGGGTTTACTGGCCAGCCAGTGTAGCTGAATTGGTGCGCTCCAGGTTCGGTGAGCAGCTTTGTCTCAAAGAATAAGACGGAAAGCAAATGTGGAAGACACCCAGCAACAGCCTCTGGCCTTTACAAGCACATGCCCAATACATACTCAAACACGTACAAACAAAACAAAAAGTTCCACACCAGGACAGTGATGTCCAGGTAGAGACTGAGACTCCTAGAAGTGGGGGAGCAGAAGATGAGATTACACAAGTCCTAAATTACCTACTGGATTTTTAAAACAACCAATTATGGGGTGGGAGGATTGGAGGTCAGAGGACAACTTGCAGGAGTCCATTCTTTCCTTCTAGGAATGTGGGTTCCCAAGATTCAGGCTTGAGGGCATGTGCCTTTACTCACTGAACCATCTAGCTAGCCCATTTTTTATTGTCTTTATTTTTTTAATTTAATTTTATGTGTATGAGTGTATTGCCTGTATATATGTAAGTGCACCTGTGTCGTGCAATGCCTCTGGAGGTCAGAAGAAGGCATCAGATTCCCTAGAACTGGAGCTACAGATGGTTGTTAACCACCATGTGGGTTCTGGGACTCAAACCTGGGTCCTCTGCAAGAGCAGCCAGTGCTTTCAACTGCTGAGCCATCTCTCCAGCCCCAAGCTAGCCCATTTTTAAAATTACATTTTAAATTGTATTTTGTGCCGGGTGTGGTGGTATGTGCCTTTAGTCCCAGCACTTGGGAGGCAGAGGCAAGCGGATCTCTGTGAGTTCAAGCCTAGCCTGGTCTATATAGTGAGTTCCAGGCCTGCTGGGGCTACAGGGAGACCCTGTCTCAAAAAGACCAAAAAAAGGGCTGGAGAGATGGCTCAGCGGTTAAGAACACTGGTTGTTCTTGCAGAAGACCGGGGTTTAAATCCCAGCACCCACATGGCAGCTAACAACTGTCCGTAACTCCAATTCCAGGGGATCCGACAGCCTCTTCTGACCTCCGAGGGCATTGCACGACCTAGATGCTCTTACCTACATGCAGGCAATACACACATACACATAAAATTAAAGTTTAAAAAAAAAAGACCAAAAAAAATTAAATTTTATGTATGGGCACACATGTACCACAGTGCGTGTGTGGAGGTCAGAAGATAACTTGTCATCAGGTCTCTCCTACCACGTGGGCTCTTGGGGATCAAACTCAGGTTGTCAGGCTTGGCAGCAAGCTACTTTACCCACTTAGCCATCTCATTGGCTCCCCTAGAGGCTTAAGTTTGGACATTAAAAGTTGTCAATGTGCTCTTTAAAAAAAAAAAAAAAGCTGCTGGGGATAATTGAAGTATCATCTTATCCTGAATCATTTTTTCTTAACTAGGTCTGTATGTGAAAATATGGGTTTCTTTGTGAATAACAATGCTGTAAGTTGGGCTGTAGGCTTCATGGCGGCCATTTCTCCATTTCCCAGAGAGGGCAGAAACATCCAGGGACCAGCCTAACTGAGCTGTAGTGATTATTTCACAACACTGCTGACTCCTTAGTGAGCCAGGTGCTGGTGTGCTGGCGAGTCCCTCAGAGATCCAGAGAGCAGGAAGACACGCACTACTTGGCTTTTTGTATTGCTTCCTGGCACTTAATGTGCATCAGAACATTCACTTGTGTCTTGGAATTTTCACTGGGGGTTAGGCGAATAATTAAGCAATGCCTCCCCACTACTTCTTCAGTTCCAGTAACAAACCAAAGCTCAATTCCACCAAGGTTCCGCCTAGTAAACCAGTGAGTTTATTAGGTTTCCTTACACAGCAGTGGGTGAGAGGTTACAGGCAGTGTTAGATAAAAGCCGGGCAGGGAATAGCCACAGGAAACATAGGAGGACTCCAGTAAATCAAAGTTTATTTCTTAGGCTTGCTGGTGGCTGGCAGCTCAGTTGGGGAGAGAAAGGCAACCAGCAGCTTTCTGACTGCTGAGGAAGTTCTAATAGGGGGATTGGGGAATGTGGAAGGTGGCAAAAATAATCTCTACAGTTTCAAGGGAAGTAGCTTGAACTGAGACAGCTCTTATATCAGTGGGTCTGGGTACAGGGACCTGTTTATCTTCCAAAATTATCTGGGGAACAGCTTTGTGCTGAGACAGCTCTAAATGTAGCTGCCTGGCCAGTTCCTGTTTTGCAAGGGGGCCCTCGTGGCCTCTCTTGTGAGGCTTTTTTACACTGGGAGAGGGTCGTCTGCAGACCTGGACTCTTAACATTCCAGCCTTTCATGTTACAGGATAGGGGGTGGCATTTTCCCATCATGGCTACTTCCTGCTGGTCAAGGTTGATGTGGGGAAAGGAAGGCTGGAGTCAGGGTCCTGTCAGGCAGCGGGAATTTCCAGCTTGTGCATCTGGACAAAGTCCTCGGTGGTCGACAGGTGTTTATACACATGCGGGAAAGGAAAATAACAGTTGGTTAAAGCTGGTATGAGTTAGTTGTATCCAGCCCTGAAAATATCTGAGAAGACAGGGAGCAATGGTTAGCACCAGACTAGTAGAGAGCAGGGGGCCACATAAGGGCAGAAGCCAGGGAGTCAGTACTGAAAACATACCCTATTGGGGTGACTGCCAATACTGGGAAGTTTTAAGTAAGAAATCCTTGGCCACCTGTTGGAGGCATTTTATGTTGTGTTCAACCTTATTTGATTGGTTGACATAATTAACAGCATTTCTTGCCCAAGAAAATGGAGGTACCTCCCTTTTCTGCAGTTAATAGGTCCAGAGCTCACCTGTTCTGGAGTGCAACTTCAGCCAGGGAGGCAGTTGCTGTTGTGATATCTGGATTGACTGGGCTGTTGCTTCCACTGCTGTAGTAAGTCCCTGCTTGAGGTCCCGGATCTCCTGAGAGAGGTGTTGGGCTGAGAGAAAGGTATGTCCCAGACTCGCTGCCATGAATCCTGTGGGAGTGACAGATGATACCAGGCTGATTCCTACCAGCACTGCTAGAGTAGCTGACCTTTCTGCTCTGCTTTTTTCTGTTTCTATGGAGAGAGAATCATGCACCTCTCCTGAGGCCTATAGATATGAGAATGACTGGAGTGTAGGTATCCTTGACTGGTGGGGAGATATAGGTACATATCTTTTTTCTTTAAATCTTTATTTTTAAAATATTTTATTTATTATTTTTATTTTATGTGTATTTTGCCTACATGTGTGTAAGTGTGCTCGTGTTGTACGGTGCCCGTGGAGGTCAGAATAGAGGGTCAAACCCCTTGGAACTGGAGTTACAGATGACTGTCAGCCCCCACATGTGTGCTGAGATTTGAACCTGGGTCCTCTGCAAGAGCAGCCAGTGCTCTTAACTGCTGAGCCATCTCTCCAGCTCCAATCTGCACTTTTTAGGTAGCTAAAGTTAATCACTCTTTCAGAATGAAAGCAGGTGGCATGGTGATGGTAGGAAGGAGAGGGGCACTGATAACATAGCTCAGTAGCTCATTAACATCCTGTCTGTATTGACCAACTGAACTGATCGCTGCCAGCTGTCCCATCCCTCCATGCCACACAGTCACAGACATAAGGTGCGTGCATCTGGGCTGAGCGAGAGATCATGGAAATGTTAAAAGAAGAAAAAGTAAAAATGATTGCATTAAGCAATATGATCTTCTGCAATCAACAGCTGGTGATAGCAGAACTTTCAATCTTTTATTTTGTCTGGAGCAGAGCAGCTAAGTCTGGTGTTTAGCTGTATTTTGTATTGATTTTCAAAATGACAAAGAAAATTTCAGGAGCTGTCAAACAAACACGAGACATTTATGAAATGAAGTTCTGAAATGATGGTCTTCTGCCACTTGGGCATTCTTCCTCATCTATTATGGGTCTTTCATTAATGATTAGTCGGAAACTTCTGACACAAGCTTTGAAATGTGTCATTGAAAGCATTCTTACTAGGCTGGTGAGATGGCTCAGTGGGTAAAAGTATTTTCTGCCAATCCTGATGACCTGAATTCCATCACTGGGACCCACATGGTGGAAAACCCATTTTTAGATAAACTTTTACTAGATAACCTTAAACTAGTTGACTAAACTATGACCTTAGCCTGGAGATACTAAGCAAGGCTTACCCCATCTAAGGTTATAGTGTCAAACCAATGTTTGATTACATTAAAGTTTTCCTGGGGAACTAATGAATTTACTGAGCTTACGTACAGAGATGACTGAGGGGTTGCTGAGGTGTAGGAGTGACCTGAGAGTATTTGCATTGGAAAGCCCTTACCCAGAATGGATGTTGACTTTTTTATAACCTCATGGGTCAAACCCTCTCTTTATCTAAGGTTATAGTGTCAAACCAATGTTTGATTACATTAAAGTTTTCCTGGGGAACTAATGAATTTACTGAGCTTACGTACAGAGATGACTGAGGGGTTGCTGAGGTGTAGGAGTGACCTGAGAGTATTTGCATTGGAAAGCCCTTACCCAGAATGGATGTTGACTTTTTTATAACCTCATGGGTCAAACCCTCTCTTTGCAGCCTTTGTCTTCCCAAGATTATATACTATAGTCCTTTTCAAATGTAGGAAATCATTTGTAATTAGGGCAGAATTATGTACAGGTGGCTGAGAAGAATGGCTGAATACTCAAGGTGAGGGTCCAAGGACCCTGCTTACCCCTCCTTTAATGAAGGATCATAGCTGTCAACAGGCCCAATTGTGATGATTTTTAGTAAGGAGACGTAGCTGAAGTCATGAAGATGGCAGTTATTTGACTTAGGAGTGATGTGCAGCAGCATCTTATAAGAGAACATGGAATCCAAATTACATACATAAGATAATGTAATTAAGTTAATATTATCCAGTTACATAGTGTGCATTATAAGTTTCCAGATAAATCTTATAGAAAACATAAAACCATTAATAATCTTTGTTATTTTATGTGGTTACAGAATGGTTTACTGTTGGGGACCCCTGTTGTGTAAAGTAGCAGTCTCTCCATGTCCGGATAGCCCACGGGGCTCGGTGTTCTATGCAGAGACTCCTTTTATCAGCAGGGTGCCTTCCTACTCTCTTCCTGACTCATCTTTGAAGTA